TGAATTGAGACATGGATGTATGCTTTGATTAGTCGTAGTAAATTTTAGTGAGATTGAGAATATACTGATTTTATAATGTGTGCTTGCTTAATAAAAAATAACTTGCTAAGTGAAGCTTGAGATTTCCATTGCTTCCTTGAAATTAGATTTCTCTCACTGTTCCTTTTTCCCTTGTTCAGATCTGAATTTGGATGTTTCTCTTGCTTTCCGAACCTCTGTAATGATTTCTTTGATTTCCTCTCAACCTTGCCAGTCTAGATTGAGTCCCTGCCTCTCTATCTCCAATGTGTTGTTGATAACTTCTTCTATCATTTGGCTAAATTTAATTACATTAAAAATAAAATAAGCACCACCCGGTGTGTCCAGTACCTAACCATTATTTTTCTCCCCCAAGAGAATGTATATATTTTCAAATTAACACAATTTGTCTAAAAAAAAAATAGAATCCTCCTTCCTTGGAGGATTGCAAGTGTTCATGTTGTTGATTTAATCAATGTTTTCCAAGCTTCTTGGAGATGGGGCTAGTCAGTTAATTCTTATAATTTTCCTGTCTCCTCGCTTAAGATTTTGGAACTCTTTAAAATTCTGCCTTTTGTTCAATTTTGGCTGATGGTTTGCCCAATTTGGGATTAATTTCACTGCAAAAATCAGCATAATCTACAGGAAACACTACCCCAATGTGTATGAAAGGGAAGTGATTCCAAAGTTAAGATGTTGTATTTACTTTATTTTCTCAAACAAACATAGGATGAAAATACTGTTTTTCTTTATTTTAAGCCAGCATGATGACAACTGTGTGTGTTTGGGGAGGTGGGGGCAGCATGTCTGTGTGTGGGTTTTAGTAGGTGGATTGATCATAGAAAACTGTTCAAGTTGCAACTAGAAAGTTCACTTGGAATCTGATCCCAAAGTAGAGCATGTTCAAAATTTCTATTTCTCATAAGCAGAACTATAATTAATCTTTGTTTACGTAACCTCATTATTACAATTCACAAAGCTGTTCCTACATGTTTTATGTATTTAAAAACCATGAGAAATAACTGTTAAATGTTTATCTTCCGCAATTGGTTCTATCTGTTCCATATTGCCATGCTATGTAATTTTGAAAATTTGATATTTTAATCATATGTGCACAAAAGATCTCATGGAAAAAATCCAGTGGCAAATATTTTAAAAGTGAATAGAACCAAGATTCTTGGATGCAAAACAATTTTTCCACTTTAATGGCTTTGATTGTGAGCATCTTATGCTGATACCTTAAACACTCTTTAAATATCTATATTGTAATGTAATTTGAATTGGCATTATTTTAATTATCAGTATTGATGACTGTCTGCATGACTGGTACATGCTTTAATATTACCTTTTGCACCCCATTGTTTATTTTAAAGTTTCATGGATTGTTCACTCCCTTAGGAAACTCAACTGTGGAAACCATACCTGTCAACAGCTGTGCCACCCGTCTGCATGTCAGCCCTGCCCTCGCTTGCCAAAATTGGTTCACAGCTGCCCTTGTGGGCAGACTCCTCTGTGCAAACTTTTAGAGCTTGGGTACCCTGAGCGTAAGAACTGCACTGACTCTATACCATCATGTGGGAAGACTTGTGGCAAGCCATTACCTTGCGGCTTTGATGGTAAGAAGGTTAGATGGCTTTGACAAGTTGTGTGCATGAAATTACTTTTTTTTTTAAATTGGTGAAATGAGTTTTTTTAAATCATCAGATATTGTTTAAACATTATTGAGATTTATTGTTAAAACTTTTAAAATGAGGTTCACAACTTGTAAGATACTGATCATTCTGTGCGGAATTTGTTAGGATTGTTAAAACATTATTGCGGTACTTTTCCATAATTTGTTAGAATAACTAAGGAGTTGGTTATTATTTTCAGTATGTTGAGGTTCTTAATATGCAGACAAACATGTTTCCAAGCTGCATATTATATTTTGAAAACCAAGTAAACGTATCCTTGTGCAATCTAAGCGATGGTTTTGTAATTTTGGTTGTCTGCTTTTAATGAGGAAAGGGGAAGTGTATTGAAACTGCAGTCATTGTTGGCTTCATTTATTGACCATCCTGCTTTGTTCTAATTTGCTAAACATAATTATGAACAAAAAATGTTGCAAATTTGAGATAAAAACAAAGGGTACAAGAAGTGCATAGCCCTTTAGCACACATCAGCGAAGCAAAAGTGCTTTTAAGCCTTCTAATAGTTCTATTGCATCATGCACAATCAACAATTTGGTACAATTGGAAAGGAAGAGAAACAGAATGTGAGAGTCTTCATGAATGGTTGCAGCACCAATATTTCACCTGTAATGAATGTACCAGGTCTCTGCAAGAGCAGCACACCTGGAGACTTGCAAGTGGAAAACTGTTAGATAATGTAGACCATGATAGGTGAGGCAAGGCAAATATTGTGTAGAAATAATTGAGACTGAAAAGACCTCAGAGATCCTTAAGCTGAAAACATGAAGGAAATTGAAAAGCAAACAAGTAAAAACCATCCAAAATTTATAAAATTTTGATCCAAGGTACATGGGGAAAAATGGGACAAGATCACAAATGCAGACCGCTCTACCTGCTTTGTGTTTGGCTGGCTATCTTAGCAGCCACACCCTATCGTACCAGCTTCCTACGGTTTAAAGAGTAGTGCTGTTTATTGCTGAAATCTGAAGCTACTGATCAGGTTTACCAACTAGAGGTCTTCAGGATGCTTAGAAAAAGTTAAAATGCTGTTCTTGTAGCTTGCTTTAAGCTTGGGTAGAGCAATATTGGAAACTTGATAAGAATCATGGGAAAGGATGGGATGGGTGGTGGGCATTGATAACAACCAGTCTCTGCAGTAGTGAGTCACGGGATTATTTGGTTACAGTTACGGACACAACAGAAAGTTTCTTAACTGGTTTTCTATCCTCATGGAAGGGGCTACACCATGAGCAGCAAATACAATCTAAATTCTCTTTCTGAAATCATTTAAGTGTTTTGGGCACTGCTTTCAGTTGGTATGAGAAATAGAGAAATATTGTAATGTTCTGCACGGAAGTATCTGGGTTAATGAAATGTCAGTTCGATTAGAAGAGTAAATAAGAGCATTCCCTTGCTAACAGCACCTCAAGGACTGCAGCTGTTCACGAAGGCGGCAGCAGCACCACCACCTTCACAAGGGTAATTAGAGCTATTTAATATATACTGACCCAACCAGGGACATCCAGATCCCTTGAACAAATATTATAATAAAATCCTAGTTTGAAAGGTATCCCTGTAAAAATAGAGACAAGGAAATCAGGTTTGTGGTGGAATCATTGGTATGTGGTGGGCCATGACCTGGTGAATACGAACCAATAGTGTGCTGTGGAGTGTGTAAGAGTAGAGACCAAACCCAGTCCTCTCAGCACTGGAAAAGAAGCACTGCCACAAAAAGACTTCTCAGACTTTTCTGGTATGAAAAGAGGAATCATCAAATTAGATGTGACTAACATAGAAAAATTAGGAATCTGACCTGGATCTCTCTGTCTGTTAAGAGTATTGTGTAGATATTACGTTGTCAAATGTATGTTTGGAGTATTGCAGGATAGGATACAAATTGATACTCCATGACGGTATTGTAACACTAAAACTCTTGAGTATTCTTGAAATTGGATAGTCTGCTTCCAGGCTAACAGTCTGAAGCAAATGTGACTTAGTGACTGTATACATTATTTTGCCTTTTCTGAGACTGAATGGTCAGTACAGCTGATCTTTAATAATTTTGAGAATGTTATCTGCAGGAATTCTAACATTGGTGCGCATGGCTAGAATAAACAGTTTTTTTTCTTTAAAATATAGATTCCATTCATACTTGTAGTAACCTTTGCCATGAAGGTGAATGTGGACCATGTGCTGGAATTTCAATAGTTAATTGTCGGTGTGGATTTAAAAAGCAGGTGAGCAAAAGGTCAGATCTGTAATAAAATGATATCTACTTTATCTAATTCGTTTTCAATACTAATGCACTCCTGGCATTGCAGTTAGAGCAAGGCAAAGACAGGTTGGGAAGAAGGCAAATGCTTTTGTAGCAATCCTTTTTGAATCCGGAAGAGTAGGAGTAATTTTTCACAGACCCCCATTGGCCAGCGAGATCAGGCTTATTGGTCAATAAGATTGACTTACTGGTGGGGCACATTGTCATGTCAGGAATATGCATGTTGTGGCATTGAAACAATTCTCAGCATGCAAGGAAACCCAGATTTCAGATTTGACTCAACACCCACCCATCTATGTCATTTGCCACAATAAATATCTAGACTGTAATTAAAATAATTACCAGCCTCAGAAGACAGTGAATACATGATGCTAAATTCTAAACCATAAAAATTCTTTTTACCTCCACTAATTGTTTCAAGTGCTCCATTTAACAATAGGTTCACTATTAATCTCTGTGGTTTGACTATGAATTATAAGTTTTGCCATTTATAAATGATTATCCACAAAATCATTACCTGTGTGGAAGAATTTAATTCCACTGTATTCTCTGGTATAAAAAACTTCAGTTAACGAAAAATTTTCAGACAATTTCAGCTTGTGTAATTATTATTTAATTCTGCATAGGATGTACCCTGTGTCAACATCACAAAGGAAGGTAAGCATCATGATGCTCCCTTTTTTTAAAATTAAGGTAGTGATGTTTTCAAGTAAAATCTTGTTGAAAATTGATTATTTGTTGTGCTTAATTTTAATGTTTGGCTTTTTTAAATAGACCAAATGAGATTTCATTTCTTTTTTCACCCTTTTTTACATTTTCCCTGTATCGTGCAAGATTTTGAATGAGGGATTCCCAAAATCAATTGTGAAATAATTGCGAACTAAAAATATTTGATCAGTTCTTGAGGCAGCTGACTTGTTTTAGCCTATCCTTTGTTGAGAGAACCTTCTTGCAGTACTAGTACTGAGTTAGATAACTTGCCATGTTCTGTTTGGCATACAGCAATTTGTAATTAATCTTTGCTTTCAGTGTTGAAAAAGTGAACGCTTTTTATAAAAAAAAAAATCTCCCTTGTCTGACGCACTCTGGTGTGGCAACCTCTGTTTGTCCAGCATTTGCAGTACTTTTAAGTTTAATGCATGCAGATGTGCTGTCACATGTACACACCAGCATTACTGCCCCCAGTCTGTAACCAGCAGTAAACCCCAATGGTACCAAGATACTAATTTTTACTAAATGAACTTCATAATTGACAATATTGGAGATGCTGCTGCTCATGGTTCAGTAGAAATTATTCACTTCTTGTATCAGTGTAATTCTGTTTCTGAAAGGAGATAGCACTGTGTTGTGAAACCCTTCATGAGTTGCTCTGTAATACCTTCTCTGCTGTAATTTTCCTATGTAGCAGATCTGCTGTTCTTGTGTGACAAGCGTTGCAATAAAAAGCGTTCCTGTGGCCGCCATAAATGTAATGAAATTTGTTGCGTGGTAAGTGAATCAAATGTGTTTGAGGCTTTTTTACTGCACACTTTGTTGTTTGACATACATCATAGGGAAATAGTGTTTTGACAATCATCACTATTTCAGAACATCAGGTAAGATGCATAAGTATGTCTTGCACCCTTTAAAGGCCAGTAATTTATGATCTTTTCGATTAAACAGCTGAATTATCCATAGACAGTGTCTTGTATTAGCATGTTTGTATTGCCATTTGCCATTACACAAGTAATGGGAGCAACCATATGCTCCAGAATACAGAGATAATATGGGAACGATGAAACAGCTTCAGAAGTTGGAGCCCAAAAAAGATGTATAGCGCTTCAAGTTGCTCTGCCATTCAGCAAGATCATGGTTCGTCATCTACCTCAATTTCACTTTCCTGCATGATCCCATTCCCTTCGTCTGAAAGTCTATCTCTATCTTAACTATACTTAATGAGAAACTCAAACCCAAAGAGCTGAGAATGCATAATCAAAGAACCCCAAATTCTTTAATGAAGAACTTTCTCCTCATCTTAATCATAAATGGCCTGCCTCTTTTGAGTCTGCCTCTTTTGAGTCTACCTCTTTTCCAGATTCCACACCCAGGGGAATTTTTTTTGCCACATCTATCTTTGAAAAATGTTAGCTCTTTCAATTAGATCAACACTCATAAACTTGAGAGAGTGTGGGCCCAGGTGTGTCTATTCAGGTGAGGACAAAACCCTCACTCCAGCAAATGGTCTAATGAACCTTTGTCACACTTCCTGTAGGGTAAGAATGTCCTCGAGGGTTGAGGTAAGGAGGCTAAAATTGAACACAGTACTTCACATGTGGCCTTGTACAAGTTGATGTGGATGATGACAAATCGTATACTAGTCATGGTTACACATCTTACAACATTTATACATGAATGACGGCACAGTGGCTCATTGCTTAGCACTGCTGCCTCAGAGCACCAGGGACCCGGGTTTGATTCCAGCCTTGAGCAGCTGAATGTTTAGAGTTGGTACATTCTCTCATGTCCATGTGGACTTCCTCCAGGTGCTCTGGTTTTCTCCCACAGTCCAAGGATGTCCAGTTTAGGTGGATTGGCCGTGCTAAATTGCCCATAGTGTTCAGGGATATACAGGCTAGTTGGATGAGCCATGGGAAATGCAGGATTACAGGGATGGGGTTGGTCTAGTTGGGGTCCTCTTCGGAAGTTCTGTGGAGCCGATGGGCCAAATGGCCTGCTTCCACACTGCAGGAAGTATATGATTCTATTCATATCAAAGTCAAAGGATATCTACATCTTTCTAAATATAAAAATTTCTCAATTCCTAAATTTCAAATAGTTATTTTTGCGGCAAGTTGCATAACTTTACGCTGTCGCATTGTTTTCTATCTGCTGTTACATTCTTTTCTTCAATATAATCTCATACAAGAATTGGTAAAAGACTAATGTGGGTTCTTTATTTGAGGATAAGACTATTTGCAAATTGTTCCCTGGAAGATAGTTATAGTACATCTGACTTTTGCTGCTTATAGATTGACTGCATATCACATGGCTAATATTATATTGAAGTGGAGTGATTGACAGTAGTTCAAAGTACACAATCTTAAAGATACATATACCTTTTTCTAATTCACTTGTGGGTTGTGGGCAGTGCTGGCTGGGCCAGTGTTTATTGTCCATTTCTAGTTGCTTTGAAGGTGATGGTGAACTGCCTCTTGAACCACTGCAGTCCATTTGGTGTACCCACAGTTGTACCCACAGTGCCATTCGGGAGGAAATTCCAGGATTTTGACTCAGCGACTCAGCAGTGATATATGTCCAAGTATGTCTCGCAGTAGCTTAGAGGGAAACTTGCAGATGGTGGGGTTTCTATGTAATTGCTGTCCTTCTAGATGGCTGGCTTATGTGGTTGTTATCCAATTCAGTGTTGGAAATTTTGTGGCCATCTTTTAGCTTTTTGCAGGATTTTTTTAATGCTAGCTGCAGTTTTTGACGTATAGTCAAGAATCTTTCAGCTGTTTGGGAGTTTGTTTTGCCTTGATTGAACACTAAAGGTACTACCAGTGTCTGAGCTAGCCATATGTTACTGCTTAACAGTAATGGTGCTGTTGAGGTTTTTGATTTCCTTTCTGGGTTAACTTAAGCTTCAGCCACAAAAGTCAATTTAGGTGGGCAAACTGACTTTAGGACTTCCAAAGTGAAAACAAATAATGAAGAAAATACTTTTAAGGCTTTCAAAACTCTTACTGCATAGATTCTTCTTTCCAGCCTAGTCTGTGGTATTTAATTTCAGTAATGAATTTCCATGTAGTGAGACCACCTGCAGTCTGCTATTCAGTTTCTGTTGCTGGTTTAACTTACACTTTGAATAATTAAGCTCTTAAGATTAAAACCTATGGGGACCTGATTCCCATTTGGTGGAACTAGGTGAGATCCAATGCCTAAGAAATTGTAAGTGGAATTCCTACAGAGGTGTAATATTACACAAGACCAGTTTAATACTTGTTCCACTTTTAACACCAGCTCTTTTCTTCTGTTGGGTGTGAAGGGATTGAGGTTTATATTCTGTGTGGTCAAATGTTCCAAATCATACCACTACTGCCACAATATGTAAGCTTAATGTGAAAATTAAAAATCTTCAAATTACATACTAGCACTACGTAATGTTCTTTTCTTTCAAACATGCCAATCATTCTCAATGATTAGCTAAACAATCTGGGTTGTGTACTTGAAAGTAAGACTGTATAATGTTCACTGGGAGCTAAGCATAGTACGCCTGAGTTTTACCACTGTTGTTCATAGTTGCATGATATGTAGTCAGTCTTAAGTCACATTCTCCATCAAGATGGTAGTGATTAATAGTAGTTTAATAGGTTCTCTTAGAAGTAAGTGCACATCATATCATAGCATCTGGTCTTATCGTATCCACGCATTTAACCTGTCTTTCCCTCTGCAGCCTCTTTCTGTCCCCCCCCCCCCCCACTCTTCTATTGTCAGCAAGTGTGGATGCATTAAACTAGTTTTACAACTAGCTTGCTGTCCTCTGATTTCATCTTAAACATTTGGTGCTTTGTAAAACCACCTTCAATACAATATGTAAAATTCTGTCACTAGACAACATTTAAACTTTCAAGATATTAAGGTTTTTTATTGAATCAAGCAGACTATCTAGCCTTTAAGGTGCAGACTGGTAGTTGACATTGCATTAATATGTGCATCTTTGCTCATTCTAGACCAATTTATCACCATTTTCTCTGCTTTTCACCATTCTGTCTTTTCTGCTCCTGTACACTGCCATTTCCTATATTCCATGCTCAGTTTTGTGGAATTCCACAGTAGACTCACTAATATTTCAAAGAAGCACTGTTTCAATCATTTTTAAAAAGTATCTTTGCAAGTTTTTGAATAGTATATGAAAAGGAGATTTTTTGTTAAATAGATCTTTTGAATAGTTTTGAGACTAATGTCAAATGTCTTGTAACCTGTTGATTTCATTTTAAGGATACTGCACATAAGTGTCTCCTTCTCTGTGGACGCAAGCTTAACTGTGGACAGCACAAGTGTGAGGAGCCTTGCCACCGTGGAAACTGTCAGAATTGCTGGCAAAGTAGTACGTCTGAAGTCCAAAAATTTAGTTGTTTAGTAATTTGTCTTGGTTTCTATGTGAAACTGTGTATAATTAAAACGTTATGCAATACCAGAGAGACAGATACATGGCCCAAGTACATGATAACATAAACGAAGTTTTCTACTTGTTTTGATGTATATTTTGATAGAATCAGGAGCTTGAATAATACACTCTGAAAACTGATGTTTTATAAAATCCAGCCTTTACCATAACAAACCAGTTAGTCCATTAGAGGATTCCAACAGATGTTTTAACTTTAGTGAACTGATTTCTCAGTAAGTTTGTAAATCTACTGCATTGCAGAAATTTCAAATTTTTTGAGTCAAAAGGCAATCCTTCATTCATTGATGTTGGAGAAAATGTCGTTGCAGATAGCTACCTAAATCCAATTTGCCTGAAACAGAACCTTTGGCTTAACTGTTTTTTTAAAAAAACTGAGAACAGAGCCATGCTTAGAATACATTTAAGTTGTCTGAAACTAGTCTGATGACAAAAGACCTTTCAGAGAACTCTCTCAAAATTATCCTTTTGTGGCCAAGAATCCTACTCCACTTGTATGGAAAATCAGGGTGTCCCCTATTCTGGACTCCCCATCCCTCTGTAAGTCCCTTTTAAAAGTCACCCATGACACATGACCTAGAAGCTGCTTGGCAGCTGGCCGAAACCCAACCTTGTCTGTCACAAACAGCTCTGCATCCTGTTCATGCCCATAGCAGACAGTGAAGTGGATGGATAACCCTTGGTAAATGAGGCTTGGTGGTTAAAATTAGTGTGGTCTGCTATGTCTGCCAAATTCAAAGCTTACTCTCACTAGAAACCTGTACAGAGGTAAGATCTGCCTGAAAATATTCAGTCTATCTCTTCCACCTCCTTCCCATTTTCTTATTCTTTTCTATCGTTGCAACAGCTGTTTCTTCATCTGTTATTACCCATATGTCGATTTCCATTATATGGCAAAGCAAACTCTTGTATGATAGGTTATGCAATTAACTCAACGTTTGCTGTTTAGGCTTTGATGAATTAACGTGTCATTGTGGCAAAACAGTGATCTATCCTCCAATACCATGTGGCACCAAACCTCCAGAGTGCAAAAACCCTTGTATCAGAGAGCATGAGTGTGATCATCCAGGTAAGAGAGAATGGTTTCACCAGCTTGTGCATTAAATTGAAAACATTGTGATTTTTGTTGGAACACAGGTGATAACGAAATGTGTTTAAAGGTGCTTAAGTTTTACATGTATGATGTGGATTTATGAAAGCCCCTAACTACTTAATGCCGATCATTGAAATGTATAAGGATATCAGTAAACTTGACTAAACATGTTTAGGTACTGCCTAAGAGAAGTTAATGTGAGTTGCAATAGTGGAGTAGAATTCTGTAAAAGTTGTAATGAAACACCCTGGTGCACTGGCCAGACCAAACTTTGTGGAGTCTCTAGCTCCTCCCCCTCAATGCAGGGTCAAAGCAATATATAATCCATGAAGGTGGTGAGGAGAAGAGCCATACAACCAATTCCTAGAGGCAGATAATTGGCAAAGATGGATGAGACTCAACAGCAATTTATATTTAATTACACTCTTACTTAAATGACTTTTAAGAGCATGAGGAGAGTTGCTTGAATGAGGTTTATAGAGCGCAAGAAGAGTGGCTTTGGAGAGATAAGAGCACAAGTGGAGAGTGGCCTCACATTAAGCTAGCATGAAACGACTTTGGAGAGATTAAATGAATGAGAGAGGAGAATAGTTTTGGTGTGATCAAAAGAGGTCCGTATTTGGGAAGTGAACCTGGGCTAAGGAAGGAGCCATCAATCACAAAAGAGAAGGAAGGCAGAGAGGAGGTTGGGATGTCAGATCAGGTGCACTCTATCAAGGAGGAGATAGAGAAGATTCACCTCTTGTAGAGGTGAGGCACTGCAAGTTGCTTCCCATTCTCCATGATTGTCGCAAACGAGGGCACTGCTGCTGCTGAATGACCTTGGTTCTCCACACCACAGCTAATCTTGATGCATAACTTAATTCTACTTATTTGAAACTACTTTGACTGTGGAGCCAAGAAATACTGCCTACTCTGTCAAAATAGAAATATTCTCTTCGTACTACCTCTGTCAAACAGGACCCAGCATGATGTTTTGGAAGACAGAAGGTAACTAATTTCTGGACTCCGACATAAAAATGCAGCCTTGATTTTCTCCAGTCCTCCTGCCGTTGGCCCCTGCATGTGATGTACAAAGTATATACCCCTGTTCATAGGACACACTTAGATTAATTGAATATTCTGTTATGTATACTGAGGGCCACGTTCTTTGCTTTAGAGGGGGGCGTGATGGCCTAGTGGTATTTTTGCTGGAATGTTAATCCAGAGACCCAGGGAATGTTCTGCGGGCCTAGGTTCAAATCCTGCCACAGTAGATGGTAGAATTTGAATTCAATGAAAATATGGAATTGATGGTTGAATGATGACCATGAAACCATTGCTGATTGTCAGGAAAAACCAATTTCGTTCACTAATGTCCTTTAGGGAAGGAAATTGCCGTCCCTACCTGGTCTGGCCTACTTGTAACTCTTGACCCACAGCAATGTGGTTGACTCTTAACTGCCCTCTGGGCAATTAGGGATGAGCAATAAATACTAGCCAAGCCAGCGATGCCCAAATCCCATGAATGAATAAATTTTTTAAAATGTCCAGACTCGGTACTGCTCAGTTCAGCAGCAGCAGTGCCCTCATTTGCAATAATCATGAAGGATGGGAAGCACCTTGCAGTGCCTCACCTCTTCAAGTTTATTGAATTAGAGCCATAATTAGAGCATGGTTTTAATTTTTTTGGCACTTATGAAGTTTATGGGTACTTTAGATTGTCATTCATGTGCATCTTGTTATATTCCTACAGTATTCCACAATTGTCACAATGAGGAGAAATGCCCACCTTGTACCTACCTCACTCAAAAATGGTGCATGGGGAAGCACGAAGTAAGTACTACGGGAAAAACTCAAGAATTATTTGGATGTCCCTCCCTTATCTCACCCAGGCATGTAAAACAAAACTACTGAACATCCATTCTTCTCTGGCTTTTAGTTTGGTAAACTCAGCACTGCCTTTTTTGAAAACATCACCTTCTGTCATTTATAATACAAATGCAAAGAATAGTTGAAATCCAGCAGACTGAGAGAACTTTATGAACTTGCATCTTTTGTATGTTTTCATAATGAAATTGAGAAAAATTACAAGCAATATCAATGCTTAAAATAGTATACATTTTTAATAACTTATGTCAAGACCATAAGACATAAAAGCAGAAGAATGCCATTCAGCCCATTGAATTTTCTCTACCATACAATTAGATAATCCTCAACTCTGCAAGCTGTCCACCTTTTAAGGGAACAGGAATTCTTACAGGCGGGAACCTGCCTAATAGGCAATTAACCTGTCACATTTCCTGGAAATGCTGATGACAGCATTTCAACCAACTTTTTGTCTGGTTGACAGGATCACCACTGTGGTGATTACATTTAGACCACAGTTTCTTGGCCTATTCTCTCTCTCAACAAATCCCCTATAGAGGCAACCATGCTGAAAATGTTCTCTGTAATCATAATCTGTACAGAAGCCTAAGAAATATCTCTGTGCATTTATCATTGAAATGGACTTCAAGTGTAAGTCCTTCGATCCTGATTACAAAATCCAAGCAAATGTATTAGTGAATTTCCACGTTACATAATTCAGTTTCATGCTTGGGAAATCTCCTTTATGGAGAATAAGGGCCATAGTGTTTTAGGGTTGTTGAGCATGCATCATAAAATTGGGAACTGTTGAGAGAGTACTGAAGATCAAAGACTCTTTATGCTTTGTTTTAAAGCTAGCAAGGGACCCTGTAATAACAAAGAAGATTGGATTCATTCTTTCAGAAGTGTAACTAATGTCGATCTGGATTTTAACTGAGATCTGTCCACACACTGCAGATATGATTTCTTCTCCATTTGAAAAGAATTTTGTAAAAGTTATTTGTTTATATATATAAAATATATATCTGCTCACCAGTGTATTGTAGTTCTACTTTGGTCACAATTGTAATGAAGCTTAAATCAATTATGCTGTACTGTCTTTTGATGGCACATCTTTCAAATTGTAAATTTTTCCATTTTCAAAACCAAATGCAGAATTTAAAGGATTGTCTTTGATCAGATGTCAGTTTAGATGCTTAATTGTAGGTTGTAGATCATGATATCTGTGACGGATTTGCATTACATAGATTTATTAGAACACTTCTTTCTTTACCAGATGCGGAGCAATATTCCTTGTCATCTGACTGGCATTTCCTGTGGACTTGCTTGTAACAAGCTGTTACCTTGTGGAATGCACAAATGTAAAAAGATTTGTCACAAAGGCGACTGTGTTACTGAAGAACCATGTAAACAACTGTGCATCATTCCAAGGCCTGACTGTAATCATCCTTGTTCGTCTCCATGCCACCCAGATTCACCTTGTCCAAAGACACCCTGCTCTGCAGAGGTATGCTCGTCGTGTGTGGTTTCTGCTCAGAAAATGAAATCAGCCTTGTGGAAATAAAGTTTGGATTTGCATACCTATTACATTATTCAAAACCACCTTGAGGCCTGAGAGTTACTTGTGAAATGCAATCAAAATGATTGTCTAATAAAACATGGCAGCCAACATGTACGCAAAATTGTCCCCAAAACCACAAGTTAGTGAGCAAATTTAAAAACAAATGCCATTTTAATTTCAAATTTCCAGCATCTTTACTATTTTGTTTTGTATATGAATGAGTGAGCTGTTCATTTGTTTTTGGTGATATTGTTTGAAGGAAGAATTTTGGCTTGGACCTGTAGACTGGAACAACTTCAGTTCTTTGCTCTAGTGGCATGGAATTCTTGTGCATCATCTCGACCAGTTAGTTGTCCTATTGTTTTAACATCTAATCCTAACAATGATACAGTGCGTTATTCACTCACTATCCCCCTGAAATGTGTGCCACTTTCTTCAGTTCTGATGAAAGATAATTGAAATGAAAATGAACTGTTTCTCCCCACAATTGCTACCTGACCTGTTGAATTTTTCCCCAATTTATTCTTTTAATTTCAGATTTCTGGCATCAGTTTTCTTTTTATATTGTTGACCTGTCAGCTTATGAATATTTGGAAGAATAATACAAATATGTAAAAGTATTGTGGACATGAATATAGAAAATAACTGACTCCAACTGTACACTGTACACTCAGTTGTGTTTTGAGCACAAGGAAACGTTAGAGAAATTAAAGTTTTGCATTCAAAAATGCAAAGCACCAGGACCAACTCAAAAGTAATTTCAATATTTTTAATCATTGCATTAAGCATTTCACACTCTGGCTTTTGATAAAGATGCGCATTTACAAATTATACGCATTAGGTAATATTAATGATTAGATCTGTTGCATTGCAGGTGGTATTATATTGCAGCTGTCAGCGGAAGAAAGAGATCATGATCTGCAGTGAGGCTTCGAGTAATTACCAGAGGTTTGTATTGCTTCCGATTGCAACTGAAGCTGGAGTCCAATTTTTTTTTCTTTCAAATGTAATCGGACAGACAATTTGATCTGTACTGGAATTATTCGTAGATTAGTGAATATTTTTCCTGTTTTTTATTTTCTGGCGATGGAGCTAACTTTTTTAAAATTCTTTCTTCAACGTTTACCAATTTTTGTTTCCTAAAACATACCCTAAGATAGAAATGATAGAAAAATGTTGCATATTTTCTAATTCTCATTATCCAGCTATCTTTTATCTTTTTCTAAACTTATACTAGTGTTGGGCCTCAACTTCTTTCCCTGTTAGTCCGTAGAGCTGTCAGACTTTCAAGAGAAATACTTATAGTTCTGGACTAAATTGACCTGTTACAAGCCTGGATTTAGAGCATTGCTTGTGAACAGGAGACGCAGGAGCTCAAGTAAACCTTCCACGTGTGGTTGATTGTCACCTTGCCCCCAACTTGTGCATGATGCCGATCCTTACACCCCTTAATTTTTCCAGACTCAGGATTACAAGGTCACCAGTTTCTGTTCCGCCTCCCAACTTAAAATCTTGCCTGAGAGATTGGAGTAGTTGGTTATGGCCCCTGGCTGTGGCCTTGCACCACAAGCTTTCATACCTGACAAACTGCCAATCTGGCCAACTATTGAGCTGGTAGCAGAATAAAGTTAAAAGGTAATGACAAGGATTTTGCTGTAATTAAAAAGCAATCACCTTGCTGAGATTGAGTCTGTTGCAGATATGTTCCCCAGCTTTCCCTCTAAATAACAAAGCTAGTGCGTTTATTTCTAAAACCCATATTGTGAAGCGTATTTCTTTAGGTGATAGGTTATAGGCATACTCATCAGTGGTATATGATGGTGGATGTCCCAAGTCTGTGATTATGGCTTTGTATGGTCTCTGTAATATTGAAGCTAGTGATTGGAAAATTGAAAGGACTGTTCCAGTTGTTGACTGAAATAAATACACTAGGAGTCCTAGTTGAATGTCTTTTGAACTATTGAGGAACAAAGAGGACTTTGTACAGTCCAAATGCAGATTTGTTTTGCAAGACAAATAGGTCCAAACTTTATTCCTTTATGATTCATAACGCCTTTTGAGAGGGAGTACTTTCTTCAGCCCATGCAAAATTCGGGATCAAACCAGATTCTACCACATATATGAAACTGTAACTGAATACCTTTGAGTATTTGGCTAAATATGGAGGCTCCTTTGCCAAGACAATTGAGTGAATCTAGATAAAAGCTAATGAATAAGCATAGTGAGTATGGGTGTTCAGAGTGTTATTACGGTTAGTATGTTGGAAACTGCTGTAGTATGTTCTTCTCCAGTTTTGAAGCCAAGTATTGATCACTTGTAACCAATGAGCAAATCCTAAGACTTGAAATGACAGCTGGTGAAAGGCACTACTTGATGGTGGGTGTGAGAATCTCAATGTCCATCATCAGTTTACATGGATAAACAGCTATTGCCAAAACTCTTAACTAATGGGATTCATTGTGAATCTAGAAGATGCTGGAAATGTGCATGTTTCATATTGGGTTGTTATGCTAACCATGCCTGTTATAAGGAGCTAATTCTGCCTAGTTTAAAGAGTTCAAAAGTGCTGTTAGTTGTCTTCTGACAAGCTATTGAGTTTTAGAAGATGAGGGGAGATATTAGCAGGATGAAGTTGGTTCTCTGCAATAGCCTGTGATAGAAATTCAGAACAAAATTGATGCCTTGCTGGGGCCTTGATACAAGGAGTCAGACTTGTCAACATTCCATCAATACACGAGACGCTACGTTGAATTAGCATGCTGTCTGGCTCACTAGTGGAAGCAAGGGCTATGATGCTCACTGCCTAGCTCAAGACCATATGCAAACTATGTCCCTACTCTGAAGGGTAGCCTGAGATGGAGAAGCAGCAAAAAAACACTTGCTAATAATTTGCTAAGTTATAATACTTGAATTCTAATTGCTATTTCACCAGAGAAAAGTTTAACACATTCCCTCTTATTGTTCCTTTCCATTTGTGATGATTATAACTCATTGTGAAGATATATCAAGCTGTGTGGTTTTCATGTCCTTTGCTTATGCTCTGTGTAGGATAACTGCTATTTCCATGGCAAGTAAACTTTCTGATGTGCATCTTGGGGACTCAGTGGAAATCAGTAAACTCATTTCTAAGAAAGAAATGAAACAGAGCAGGTAAATTGTTCTTTAATGCATTGGAAGGTGAATTTAGAGTATCAGATTATATTAGAGTAAGTTTTACCATCAGTTGGAATTTTCAAAACAAAAATGTAAAATACGTTGCAAAAGCACCGAGAGCTACAAAGTTCACAGTTATTGACCTATGTCATCCAGGTGAGTATGATAGATTTATTTTTTTTTTTACAGTTTGAATTTTGGATAGTGTTTATTGATTTATAAGTAATTTTTTTTTATCAAAAATAAATAAATTTTAGAAAATTATACCGAATACTTTGACATGGATCGAGTGGACGTGGCAAAGATGTTTGCACTCTTAGGTGAGATAAGGACCCAAGGGCATAGTCTCAAAAGGATTACCCTATAGAACTAAAATGAGGGATTTCTTCAGCCAGGACAAGGTTTGGTGAAGTCTGAAACTCTATACCACAGAAGACTGTGGAGGTCAAGTCAAGGGGTAGGGATTTAAGACAGAGAGCTGCTTAATTATTAAGTGTTATAAAGTGGAAGTTGACCCCCCTCTGAGAACCAGAATCAAAACACCCAAAGAGGAGGACCTTGCCTTATAACCTTATAAGGAGTGTGAAAAGTGGTGGAACCTGACTTTCAGCAACATCTAGTGGTTAAACAAAACAAATCCCTGACACTCACTTTACAATCAACAAGTAACAATTTATTTAGCTAACTCTAACAGTGAACAAATTAACCATTAACAAATTGAATAAACCTCTTCTAACTACTAACTATTCCTGAATAAAACAAGATTCTAATGGTATGCTGTTCCAATAAATACAAGTCCCATTTATGTAAAATAAAATTTTAAAGAAGTAGAATTTAGTCTCTTGAAATTGCACCCAGATTACGTGTCTTCCAGAATGTTCGGTGCCTTCTCCATCACATGTTCTATCAGGAATGCCTCCTCTCAAGAATCTTAGCTAGGCGTGCCGTCGTACCATTGTGAATAGGTGGTGCTTTCTCTCAGAGCTGAGAGCTATTATCTCTTGCAGATGGCTGTTCACTCCCGTCTTTGCCCAACTGCCCCTTCTTTTATACCCTTGATGATCACCTATTAATTCCTTACAATAGGATTGGTCCTATGTTGTCAAACCATCAGATTTAAATTTAATTGGTTTTTGGTATCTAAGTGCCTGGTTCAAATTGATTGGCTAAATTCAAAATTTGTTGTCTTGGTATCAAAACAAAACTGCTGCTCAGCCTGCTAACTGTACGGCCTTTTGACAAAAGTTTCAATTCAGGTGCTCTCTGCACCTCCAAACCCACAAGCTACTGCTCACCGGCATCCTTTTTCAATCTCTAAGCGTAAAAAAAGCATATCATCCTTTAAAGGGACCATGTGCTCTCCTTCTACCTCTTCCC